TAGGAGAAAAACAAAGGAGAAGAGTATATCTGAACTATATAGCCACAGATAATTAGGAAGAAGAAAATGGAAAGTACTATTGAGCACAGATTTTAGTTTAGATAGCAAAGCCATATAAATTTTCAGGACTATTAATCTTAACACTGTAGGTAGGTTTACTTTAGTTATTTATACCCTATATTTTATAAATAACACAAGGCAGCAAACGTACTTAATACTCCTTCCTCCTCTTATTTGTCCCACAACAACCCTATGAGTGGGTTGAGCTGAGAAACGCCACCCACCTGGCTTTCATGCCTAAAGTGGGATTTAGAACTCACGGGCTCTCAGTTTCTAGCCTAATGCCCTAACCATTAAACCAAACTGGCTCTCCTAGGTTGCCAAGGCTGCAAAAAATAGAAACAGAAATAAAAATATTTATAGAAGTCTTTTCTTTTTAAGTTTATTTGACATCTACATAAGGCCACTAGGAGATGTTATTCAGTGGTTAGGGGTTTATGCAGATAATACCCAGTTGTGCATTTCTACCCCAGACTAATTGTAAGTTAACCCAAACAAGGCAGAAATTGATTCTCCACCATAACTTTTGAAGGAGTTGTACTTACCAAGAAGCTGGTTATCTGTATCGAAGATTCTTATGGACTCACAGCTCCTGCTGAAGACCAAAGTAACACTGTGGCCAGGAGAGACTTTTCCCTAGCTTTGGCTATTGTAAAAATTCCAGTTCCTAGAAGAGAGGTATGATATAGTCACTCGTGCCCTTGTCATCCTCCTAAAGCAAGGGTTCCTAAATGTTTTGCCATCACACCTCCCTTTAGTATAATCTTAATATACACATCTCCCCTAAAAACCCAAACACCAACTGAACATAAATGAACAATGTAAACAATACAATTAAATTTTGTGGAAGGTGACTTCTGGTAATAATGTATAACTGAAAGGTTCTCCATACCTGCCCAGGATTGTGTGCACTTCCCAAAATGGAGGTGTACCTCACATTTTGGGAAATCCTAAAGGGACCACTGTAACATGCCAAACATGAGACTAATCTTGAGGATACCTCAAAACCTGTAGAATGCAACTGCCTAACAGTTATCCCAGTATTGTCATAGCAGCTGCATTGATTGTCTATTTGTTTACAGGTGCTAGTACCAATTAGTCCTACATGGCTGGCTGTCTAGGTTTATGCACATCTGTTGCTGCATGTAGAGTCTGCCCACCAAAGATCATGGGCCAGTAGAGCTCTCATCCCCCATAAGGCACAATGAGAAGGATCTTGAAAGAGAGTATTGTTTGCCAGTGCTCCCCTCCTGTGGTATGGCTGCCTCCAGCATCCTTGTGATAAAATGTTGGTGGACATTGGATGATTAGTTGAGAGGATTGAGATGCTGAGGTTGCAGGTACTTAAAATATGTAGGTACAGTATAGTTGATGGTGGTTGCTGATTTTCAGTTGTTGATATTATGTACGTATGTTATATGTATGGTACATTACTTTTCTAAGCTGCTTAGATTTTTTTTTGTTTGAAAGTACTTGTAGACAGACAGACAAGTCTTATTCAATCTAATCTCTCAGTTTAGCTCTGGAGCTTTTTTCAGCTAAAGATTAGATAAAATGTTTAGTAATATTTTTTGAGTGTGTGAAGTAAGTTTTACTTTGCCATATCTAACTTAGTAGGTGAATTTAGACATCTGAAATCATGCTAAGAAGTTTAACTATTACTTCTATAAAATATAAATTGAGAAATCATAGTTTAGGATCGGCAAACCAGAATACGAAATCAGTGTGGATAACATTGTTACATTGGGGTTTTCACTAAGGGTGACCGTGGTTACAGCCACTGCCTTGCATCTGAAAAGCTCCTGCTCTGTAGAAAAGGGAGTGTTAAGGATAATTATATATGCGACTCTAGATCTTTATCCCTTTAGACCAGTGGTGGCGAACCTATGGCACGCGTGCCAGAGGCGGCACTCAGAGCTCTCTCTGTGGGCACTTCTCTGAACTGCTGGTGGCAGGCTGCAGAGCCCCAGAGTGCGCTGGTCGAGGGGCTGGCAGGCTGTGGCTGCTGACAGACACCGTCGGCCCCCATGCGCTCGCTGGCCTCTGTGTGGTGGGGGGGCGATGGTATCAAGCAGCAGCCACCCCGGCCTCGCCTTGCCCCATGGCAATGGTACCCCTGCCCTGCCTCACCTCACCCCACAGGACGAGCCTCCTGCCCGCCGCCCCACCTGCCAGAGAACCCCCTGGATCTCCCCCAACCCTGCCCACCCCCCCACAGGCGTCCCTCCCCATTAACAACATCGAGGTGACCACAAGAATATACAGTATTTGCAGCGTTGACACACGCCCACCTTGGCCACACCCACCCAATCTGCCATGACCACCACAGCCACGCCCACCCAGTGGGCCACGCCCACCCAGTGGGCCACGCCCACTTGACACACACACACCCCGGAGATAAATAAGTGGGGTTTAGGTTGCAGTTTGGGCACTCGGTCTCTCAAAGGTTCGCCATCCCTGCTTTAGACTGAAAATCCTGACCCATGGTTTAAGTTTTAAATTATAGAGTTCTGATTCTATATTAATCTCTGGTTTGAAACTGTGGATATATTTACACATAATTTTGATCGTGGATCTGTGATCTTGTTTTGTTGAACAATATGGGAGTTGATACATTAACCCCCAAACAACTAACGGTATTATAGTTTGTATTTATGTGTGAATCCAGCCAATTTCTCCCTTGAATTTTTGAGATACTGGAATAATGTGGTACGTCTTAAGAACATAGATGCATTTAAATATATATAATAAGATACCTAAATTGAAATTTACTGGAGCCTAATAACTGGTAATCATTCCACCTGTATCTCCCTTTTTCATTTATTTTCTTTGCCTCTCTCTTTGCAATTTATTTGAAATTGCCCATGACAGACTCCTGCTTCCATTCTGCTGGCTTAACACTGAAGCAACCCAGAAGATTGTAGTTTTAACTTGCCACAAAGAAGGCAAGGTAGAGAGTAGGGAATGATAGTTCAAAGTGTTTGTTTGTTTATTTGATTTTTATTCCTCCTTTATTACTTCATAAGTAACCAAGGTGCCTGACATATCTAATACTCCTTCTTCCTCCTTTTCCCCCCCACAACAGCCATGTGAGATGGGTTGGGCTGAGAGAGAGAGAGAGAGGGAGAGAGAGAGAGAGAGAGAGAGAGAGAGAGGCTGGTCAAAGTCTAGAATTCATAGTCTTCTAGTTTCTATGCCAGCATTCACTATATAAAATTGTTTTATTAATACTCATAATGTTTCATTATGCTCATACCTTTCCATTTAAAGAAAGGGGTAATGCATTATCCCTTTCTTTAAATGGAAAGGTATGAGCATAAATTTAATAAGAGAATAAGAGAATAGCATTTGGCTCAGATGTCTTATTTGACTTCTCAAACAAAACATGGATTGATCAGTTTTCTATAGCTACTCGGTGAAAAAGGTGAAACTAAACTTGGCAAGTGTTAAAGCTGTAGGGTTTTTGATTAAAAAATGCAGTAAAATTTATTTTCAGTAATTTTACAGAATTTTATGTATTGCATAGTTCCCTAAATAGTAAAGAACAAATAATTAACAAGCATGGAGAATGTGATTGCTTCTACCAAGAGTTCTTGAATGAGATGATTCATAGCCTGCTGTCTACAGATGCATTAAAGAAAGCCTACTTTGAAATTCTGAACTTGTTGAACAGTTTTGATGATGTTGTTAGCATCCAGTTTTTCTGGATAACACTGTGTACTGACCTTTTCTCTAACTTTCTACTTGATTATTATTTTTTCATTGTCCAATAACTGAAAATAAAATTGAGAATCACATGTATTGGTAGATTATGAGCTTTGGGTACTGTAAAGGAAAATACTAGTTGACTATTTTGCACTTTCCGCTTTGTCCTGGGAATATGTTTTTCTACTTTTCACTTCTCTTTGACACCTCTGAGGATAAAGTGCAAGGCTGCTTGCTTGCTTGTTTTTATTATTACTTTCGTTGCATGTGGGCTGATGAAGAGATTTCTTGTTTAGGTTGTAATTCACATGGAATTTCACCTCCACCTGATCTCAGAAACTTACCTTTCATATACTGGAATATGCAGTGGCATGTTACAGTTTGTATATTTGTTTGCAGGATTGATGTAGCTTCTTTCCCCCATATATTTCAAAGAGACAACCTGGAACCTGGATCTCTGAAGTTGAAGAATTAAGACAGACTTTTCATATCTTACTTACTACCAATCTTGCAACTAGGAGCCATACTTTTTCAATTCCAGTAATGTTAAACCAATATAGATTGCAGTTATTTGGGGATTAGTTGTTTATGTCAGTAAATAATAACAGTGTTGCAATTTAGCTAGTACCTAATCAGCTGCTACATAACTGATTAAAATTCTGAGATATGTAAACCTGAATAAAAATGCTTAGGAAAAATAAAGGATTTATTAAAAAGAACATAGAAGTTCACATATGAGAAGAATCTCAGAAAATGACAAAGCATCTGTTTTTGTAGAATACAAAACTGTTTTTGTAGTTTTGCATATTAGTAGAGAGGCTTTAAACTGCTCCCATACAAAGTATGCAGTTTTCATGATTTTGCCTTACTGCAGAATACTGTGCTATATTCCATCTTGTTCTGAAAGGTCATCTAAGATTTAGAAGCAGCTTTTCAAAGGAAGGGACTGCTGGCCAATGAGCCCAATGAAAATTGGTTACCCTACCTTATATAAACATAAGCTGTTTTTCTCCTCTGGTAGCACAAAGCCAAAATTACATGCAGTTATTAGGAATTTTGTGTGTGTGTGTGGGGGGGGGATAAGTAATTGGCTGTGTCAGAGAAATTTTGGGATTTATTTGAAAACATTTTGATACTTATTTAAACATTAGATGATTATTTTCAGGCTGTTTCATCTAAAGACAGATTTATTATTCCGCTTCTTAATTCAAAGAATCATTTTTTCCTTTATACAGGTGAACGTCTATGTGCTGGGAAAAACGTTCCTTCTGTTGGCCCGAGAGCTCTGCATAAATGCTCCAGCTATAGGTATTTTTAAATAAGAGTTGGCTTTTGATATGTAGTTACATTGTGCCATCATTTCATGGCATCTTTTCAAAAATACTTACATGGGCTAAGTTTAACTAGTATTTAAAGATACTTCAGAATTAAGATTGGGGGAATCTAGAAATGAAAGCTGTCTATGTAAGCCCTGGGTTTACCTTAAAACTGAAAAAACAGTTACTTCTATTATTAGTGTGACTTCTTCCAGTTGTATCCATCTTTTGAAATAACTAACAAAACATATATTTGAATTAACATTCAACAAAAATAAAATAAAGATGGTAATAAGTGCTTTTGATTTAATGGCAAATAGTGCTTCAGAGCATGCAGAGGCATGAACATGAAACGTAACCCAAATATAGAACATTGCACTTGCCAACAGCTGCTTAAACAAAGTTTATTCTTTCCCAGGATTATATGTGATGAGGACCTACAGTATTAAAGGTAGAAAAGGAAAAGTGAATGAATAATAAAGATTTTGATTAGTTTAGAGGGATTTGAAGCCTATCTACTTTAAGTTTGGGACTTGAGACCTGTCTCTTTAAAAAAAAAAGTGCTGCTTCTGCAATTTTGCAAAATCCAAAAACATGATCCTTTCTACATCATGACTTGTGGACAGTAATTGTAATAGTGGTGTTATATATACCACTGACTCTTTGACCTGGTTCATGCATAATGCTTAGACATACTGTACTCTGTTAGTTTTTCTAAGCTATTCATTATTGCTTAGACTTGTATGCAAACCAGGTCATTATGATTTATTTTGAAAAAGATGGTGTTTTTTTTTTAAAAAAGAATTTTGTGTAAGAGCTCTTAGACAGTTTAAATGCACAAAGAACATTTCTGTGACAAAAGGAATGTGCTCTTGCTATTTTTGCAGAAAGCACAGAGAAATGCCCAACTATTGTGTTGGGCATATCATCTAGTCTAGTTTGTGGTAATCTCAATAAAAATGTTCTTAACAGCTTTGATGCATCAACAGTGGTAACAACATTATTACATGGATGTCATGGCAAATATCGGAAATGAACCGAACACTTTAAGTCATTTCTGAAGATACTGGGAAAGTGGCATGATATGTTAGAAAATGTCAATTTACTGCTAACAAAAAGTAGAATAATTCATTTCTGACATTCTGAATAATTTATATACCATTTTAGAGGGTCTAAAGCACTTGGTGTATATTATCTGAGTAATCTTAAAACAGACCATTATCCCTGAGAAAGTGACCATATGCAGCGGTAATGGCAGAGATTTGAACTAGAGATGTTTTGACTAATGCTCCTAGCAACAGTGCTGGCCAGCTATGCATGATGTTTCCCTAAATTAGCTTGTTGTGCATGTCGGTTAGATGATTATGCTGTTGGTTTCACATAATAGCATATGTATTTATGATATAACTCAGAGATGCTCTTTCAGTCTAATTACTTAGACTGAAAGTCTTAATAAGACTATAGCTCTGTTAAGTGGTCCTTATCAGGAATTTTAAATTTTCAGAGATGGATCACAATTATCATATTAATATCATACATTTTAATATATGAATTCAGCACAATATTGAGATTGAAAGGTATTTGCTTTTATCTTGTAACTTTAGATTGATGCTTATTAAAAAGGATACTTATTATATGAGGAACTATATTGGGCATTATATATACACCCTTATTTATATTAAATATTTTCCCCTCCTATGGTAGAAACGTGTCATGGAAAACAAATCTGGAATCCCCTTGGTTACATAGCTCATAAGCTCTTTTAATCTTGGCAGATACTACTTTTCTGACTTACCCTAATTCATATATTGCCCAGTTAAGTGCCTGTGGCTTGATGAATGAACAGGAGTGGAAGGACATTAAGTATACCTCATTTTGTAGAGCACAGTAGTTGCAAGATAACGCTTTGTGATAGCTTTGTTGCTTGCCTCTTGGGTTGTCTCTATAGTTACATATACAGATGGCTGACAGTCTCCTCCTCTGGGATTATTAAATTATAAAGACTAAATTAAACAGCATGACCCTCAGTTTAGTTACTCAGAAGTAAATGCCATGGTGTTCAAAGTAGATTCCTGTAGTATTCTGACGTTGAAAATCAAGTGAATGTGCTTATTATTGCATTTCATTACATGATTTGTGACAAATCAGTTTAGACACATGGAACTGAGTAGTGAAAAATGTTTTGTGAGAGGAAATAGCTGCCTGCCTGTAGTTATTAGCTTACCATTCTGTAAGCAAACATAGGACTGAGATTTTGGAAACACTTTTAGGCCGTTTTCCACATAACATGGTTAAATAAGTCAAGTAAAGGCCTGGCAGCTATATTGATAAAACATACAAAGCTCGATTGGTGTGTGCTGGGTAGATTAATCATGATCTATGAACACAGCTAATGTGAACTGGCTTTTGTTGGTTAAGAGGAAAGAAAGCACTGTATAACAATTTGATTATACTGCAGATCCTATAGCTGTGTTACAGAATTCTGAAATTTTAGGCGTATCTTTTCTTTGTACACATGTTTGTGTCAAGAAATTAATCTCCTGGGAAATTATATTTTACTGATGCTTTAGGGACAAGGAATTACACTAATACTATATATATATATATAAAGTTCTTTAGTGCAATCTTAGTTTCAAGCATGTCTTCAGTGTTAGTAAGAGGTTTTGCTTATAGAAATAGATGTGGATTATAGCACCTTAGGTTTCATCTTTAAAAAAAGTGTTACTATTTCTGCATATATGGATGTGGTTCAAGTACCAGAGGATTAATAATGAGCAAAGCACATAAGGATTTAGGACAAGTAAAAATGTTTTATATTCAACATGTTCTCAAACTGCTCTACTTTATAACATTCTAGTTGAGTCAGTCTCAGCCGTTAGTTGTCTATATACAAAATAAATGCACATCATGTGCAATTTTTTAAACATTTCTTGCTCTGCATACTGCAGTTTAATAATTAAGTCAAATAGCTTATGAATAAATAAAATAAGATTAAATTCAAGAGCATTCCTTCACTTAGTTTCATAGCCTGATGGTAAATAGATAAGTAAGTACTATAATACTCTGATCTGCTCTGTAGTCTTTCAGTCAGATCAGAGTATCTATTAATATGCAGAACAGCCCTGGAATACAATCTAAGTGAAATGCATCATGCGTAGAAAATGAGTTCAGGTATTTGTCCTCCTTGCACTCCTGTGCCATTGGTGCTGTCTGAGGAACACTGGAATTGGAATGTCACTTTTCCACACTGTACTTCAGTCATTCCCTCTTGTCCAAAATAACTGAGTTCATTGCCATCTAGAATGGCACTTACATTGTAAAAGGTGTCTTGCTCAACTTGCACAGGATGCTCAAACCATACTGAGAAAGTGTTACTAGATCCATCGGATGTAAACTTTGTCAGATTCTGAGCAAGTACAATGCCTAACCTCTTCAGTTCAATTTTGACGCTGTATTCAGCTTTTCCACAACTTGACCCATAAAGTCCAAGTCCTGCTATAAATATCCTTTTATCTACAGCAAACTGGATACTGTCACATCGTCCCCGGTACCTCCATTGATTGCTGCGATATGCAGAGGATTGAAATCGATGGCATCTTTGTGGTACAAGTCCTTTCCGCTTTGTTAGTGGAAATTCTAACTTCGGTTTATTTGCAGCAGTATACCACAAGAAAATATTATGTCTTTCCTCAAGGGTTAGGATGTCAGACTGAGCAGCCCCATTGGCAAACTCTTCCAAAGTCATGGTTGGAATCCGAACCAAGTATAAAGCTTTCCCTAATACATTCCTCTTGTTCCTTGGCGTAATCGGCAGCCCTTGTCGCTTGCATTCAGCCTCGGCCCAGTTCAGAACTGCCTCGAACACCACCACCTCCTTGGTGTTTAGTGCTTCCCGCATCACAATGATCTCTAGCGTCTGTTGATCTATTTCACAGAAGCCCTCTGATTTCAGTGCCATTTCAGCTTGAGCATCAATGACTTCCCAGCAGCGTTGTGTCAGCTCTGGTTCCTCAAAGAGCCTGCTCTGAGACAGCAGAACACAAGCATTCTTGGCCTCTAAGCTAGTCTCCAGAAAATTGACGCAAGCTTTTGCTAAGGCTGGGACAATGTATTTCTTGGCCGCGTACAGAGTAGCAAGCACAGTGTCTGCTTCCAGCTCGATTTCATCACTATACATGTACCTATCAATATAAAAAGATTCCCTTTTTAAAAAGAAAAATACACAACTCTTAGTTACAGCTTTCAACATCTTCAAATGATTTTAAACTTTACATTCATGTTCCTTAATTTTTTTGTTTTAAAAAGTCATGCAATTAGTAACTTGATTTAATTGCTACTTACTTTAACAAGATTAGGAAAGCAGCAGGTTCTACATCTGGTATATGGATTTCAGACTTGACCTCTGCAAGATCTCCATAAAACATTGCGTAGAAGACCGAACTACCCACTGCCAATACATACTGCATTAAAAATTATAAATTCCAAATCAGGGATAATGGTAGGCAGAGAATCACATACATTACAGAAGTTTTCTTATCTCCCCCCTAGCTATAATGGTTTAGAGCAGAATATATCAGCACAATTTTTTTTGAAACGCGCTAATAGAGTTGGATCCCTCCCTTCCCCTAACGACCACTACCTTGACTCATCTGCAGATTAACTGGAAAGAAATATATTCTGATATTTTTAGGCAATTATTTTGTTGCATTTGTGCAACAATGCCCTCACTGAGTTAAGAGGACAAGAGAACAAGCATCTTTTAATACACAATTCATCTACATGGCACAAATAGAAAAGATCCCACCAACCTTGTGAGCAGGAACTTTCTTTGCTGCCCCCACTGGGCCCACAATGAAATGCACATCAGCCATAAGTTCACTGTTGAACATCAGTGCGTTTCTGTAGATTTACAAAACGGAAACATGATTAACCCCACACCTTTACCCTTGCCATCCATATTCTTTCTTTTTCTTCCCTCCCAATCAATGCAGG